TGGGTAAGAGAAAGTTTCCTCATTTGTGAGTTTTCTCTCTCTCTCTCTCTCTCTCTCTCTCTCTCTCTCTCTCTCTCTGAAATCACAGGGCCAGTCTCTACCCCTTGACTCTTGGCAGTATGCATTCTTCATCCACTCAGCATTTCTTTTGGGAGTGTTTGGGGCAACCTCTCTGGCCCACCTCTCAGCAGCGAAAACCAAACCAAACCAAAAAATAACCAACCTGAGTTTATGTGCTATGTTGCATCCAGTGAAAACCCTGCCTTCCTCCCTAGATACCTCTCCAGCCTTATTTTGCATTAAGTCCCTCTCTGCGCTCTATGAGCCAACCAGAGTGGACTGCTGCGTACTCCTGGAATTTGGCACTTCATCTCCCACCTCTATCACATTTGCACGAGCTGTTTCTCATGCTTGGAGTGCATTCCCTCCTCATTTCTACATCTCAGAATCCTTGCATTACTTCAAGGCTCGGTTCAAATGGCAATTCCATGAAAACTTTTTCCCTTCTGAAATCACATATATTTAGTTCTCCATGATTTATATCGGCAACAGAATATAAGCTCGTTGAAGGCAGGGACTCATCTCATATTTGTAGCCCTAGAGCTCAGCACAATGCCCTCCTTACACACAGCAGGCAACATTTGTTGAACAAATAGACCGATAAATGTTTCTCAGGAATAGTCTTGGCATGTGTATAAAGATTTGACAAAGATGACTATTCCCCAGTGTCTAGCATAGTAGTACTAGCATAATAGTACCTGGCACATAAGAGACATTTTGTTGTTATTCAGTCATTTCAATCATGTCCAACTCTTTGTGACCCCATTTTGGGGTTTTCTTGGCAAAGATGCTAAAATGGCTTGCCATTTTCTTCTCCAGCTCATTTTACAGATAGGGAACTGAGGCAAACAGGGCTGAATGACTTACTCAGAGTCACATAGCTAGTAAGTATCTAAGGCTGGATTTGAACTCAGGTCATCCTGGCTCCAGGCCTGGAACTCTATCCACTGCACCATCTAGCTGCCTCTCCTTACACATAGCAGGCAATGAACGAATGAATTAATGAAGCAATAAATGCTTCTCCAGGAATAGTCTTGATATGTGTTGTAAAGATTTGCCATAAAGATTTTATAAAAGTGAATATCCCTGGTGCCTAGCATAATTGTATATGGCACATAAGAGGCACTTAATGAATAAATCAATGAATGTTGATAAGAAAGCAGGTTTTATATATGGGTTGACTGGATGGATGGACCCATTGAGTTACTATGGTACATCGATTGACATGACTAGGACAGGCACTACAGACAGACCATGAACTGGGACCAAAATGAAAAAAAAAACAAACCAGAATTGAATTTGGGAAAGTACACGACATCTTCAACAATTCCCACCTGCTCTCTGACAGAAAAGTTCATATTTTAACACTAATGTTCTCTCGGGGACACTGTAATGTCGTATTAGGAACCTTGAATGACTCATTATGAACCTTTAAGAACCAAAATTGTAAATGACCCAAGGGGAGTGGAGATCAGTATGGTGTGTGTGAGCAAGCTATGTTATATTAGCAACAAGGAAGGGTTGAAAAAAGATATTATCAAGGAAATGTGAATGGGGAAGGAGGTAATAAGCTAGTCATGTAGGAAATATAAGGGAGAATGGATAGTGATAGCATAACTGAAGATCCTGGGAACCAGAGAAAACTCATATGTAGGAGACCAAAGGAAAGACCTTGACCTTGGGACACAGGGCCTTGTGATAGGAGAGACTCTGGACCCTGCCCCATGGTGGGAATCCATTGGACATCATGAACTTGTTTCTGGGGGAGAATGAGCCCCATTAGGAGCTCACCTGGAACATGGCTTCCAGTGCTAATTATTCTTGCTCACCAGATGCTAAGCTCAGTTATTTCTACCTGATAAAATATAAGTACTGTCTGTGCCCTGTAAATTTTAGTCCCTTAGGACAAAGTGCTGATCACTCACCCTAGTTAAAATTCCAGCAAAGGGTTTGGTGGATCCTTTTTGGAAGATAAAGTCATAGATGAGAATCACACAGATATACAGATGGATGGTGATTGCTACTATTGTAGGGATGGCCCATGTTGCTGGGACCATGGATGCTTTGAAATAGTGAAGTACTGGGAAATCTACAGAACTATGGAATTTACAAATGTTGGAGGACTTTAATTAAATCCCTTTAACTAGGGGCATTAGATGGTGCAGTGGATAGAGCACTGGCCCTAGATTCAGGAGGACCTCAGTTCAAATCTAGCCTCAGACATATAACACTTACTAGCTCTGTGACCCTGGGCAAGTCACTTAACCCCATTGCCTAGCCAAAACAAAGAAACAAATCCCTTTAACTAACCAAATATAATTAGTAAATAAATGGAGATATTAAATATTTTCACATTGGGCCAATTAACAAGTAGGGGAAACAATATTAGGATTTAATTAGTACAAATTTTAGGCATTTTAATAAATGTAGAATGTTATGGAAAATCCCATTGTCATCTTTATTTATTCTGGCAAGAAATTGTAAACATATGTTTCTGGTTAAGAATCTGATGGATTTTTTTTTATAATTTACAGTTAAATTTAGATTGAGAGGTAGAGAAAAACCCCCTAAGAAGGTATACCTGACACCCTGCTCATGGAGTCAGCCTGTACTGGTTTGTGAAAGCTTGTTGTTAAATTTTCAGTGTTAGCATTTACACCTTGGAAATCAGTGAGCATTACAAATCAGGGCTTGATTTATTTTGTTGCTTGTCTAGATTTAAGTAATGGAGAAATGCTGATAATGGAGATTAAATGTAAAATTGCATCTGGAATTAATTTTTTTTTTTCAGAGAGCCAATTGTTAAACATTTACCAGCACATCCTGTGTGAAGTCTTTAGGTCTTTCCATACAGTGGATACTCCAGCAGGGCCTTCCAGGCTGGAAAGATTTTGAAAGTAGACCTTACAAAGGAATGCATGTCTGTTTTCCAAACCTGGCCTTGCTAAGTTTGGAAGTCCTTATCACCAGGTTGGTTGTAGAGTCAAGGAATTTTTTGGCCATGGTAACCTTGAACAGTAGCTAATAAGTCACAGAGGGATTTTGGTCTGGGTCAGTGGAGGGAGCTCATAAACTAAGGAAATCACCTGAGCCCTAACTTTCAAAGATGGTAAATAATGAAATTGTTGCTGCTGCTGCTGAGGCAATAGGGGTTAAGTGACTTGCCCAGGGTCACACAGCTAGTAAGTGTCTGAAGTTGAATTTAAAGTCAGGTCCTCCTGATTCCAGGGCTGGTGCTCTACCCACTGCACCATCTAGCTGCCCCCAGTTATGAAATATTTTTAAACCATCTTCTCCCAGTGCTTAAATGCCGCCCCCTCAGCTTCTTTAGCTTTTTTGGGATGCCACATAGTAATCTGAAACAAATATTACTCGGAAAGAATTAATGCTATTTCAACAAGAGTTTAATCTGCTTCCAGGTGGTGTGTTGGCAACTGAGAATCTATTTCATTATGAATAATGAAAACTGCTTTTCTTTTATGAAATGGAGTAAGGCATTCAATTCCCATGGTCGGCAACCTCCACTACGTATTGTGGGCTACATTATGTTTAGGTCAACAGTAAATTGAAAGGTTGGAATTGGGTTAGACCATTAGAGTAGAGTGCTATAATTCCAACTGGGAATGGTCTCAGATTTAGAAGAGGCTGTTATTTGCATGCGTGTGCCTCATATTTATGAAATTTTTGGCAGTTATATAATCCCTCCCTCCCCAAAGTCTTACTCCAGTGCTTCTTTGTGGTATGGAGGGGATCCTAGGTTTTGGGGGGTTTTTATTTTTTTTGGAGGCAATCAGAATTAAGTGACTTGCCCAGGGTCACACAGCTAGCCGAGGTTGAATTTGAATTCAGATCCCCTTGACTGTAGGTATAGAGCTCTATCCACTGTGCCGCCTAGCTGCCCCTTTTTAATTTTTTTAAATTTTTGGTTGTACCTAGATTCTTGAAGGACAGCACACACTCTGACAGCACTAAACACACTTCCTGGCACATACTAAGTGCTTAATAAATATTTATTCACTGACTGATTGACAGGTCCTTCCAAGCAGGCAGTGTTTTGAATACAGGCTCAATGATAGACTGTATGTATACCTGTCATCTGAGGACCAGTCTAGCCACGGTGGGAAAAGCTTATCAGTAAAAGGTTGACTACAGTGATGGATTATTTTTTCCTGCCACATGAAGACTATCTACTAAGGTGAAGAAATAGTGTAACTTGCATCAATGGTAAGTGAATCTATTCCAATAATTATGAGCATTTTATATATGGCATTTAAGGTTGGGAAAGTACAAATATTATCTCCTTTTATCCTTACAGCAACCCTGGGAGGTAGGTACTATTATTATCCCCATTTTACAGCTGAGGAAACTGAAGCAAACAGCAGTTAAGTGACTTGCCCAGGATCACATAACTAATAAGTTTCTTTGGTCAAATTTGAACTTGAGTCTTCCTTATTTCAGGTCCTACACCACTTTAGCCACTATCCCACCTAATTGCCTTAACCTGGGGCACCTGAACTTTTTTTCTTTTAATATCATACTAACTATATTTTGATAGAATTAGTTCCCTTTGTAATCCTTTATATTTTGTTTTATGCATTTAAAAACATAATCCTGAAAAAGGCTTCTCCAGGCTACCAGGGGGTACGTGAAACAAAAATGGTTTACAATCCCTGATCTATTCTGATGAAATCATGGATCCTTGATGTCCTGGGAAATTCATAAGCCCTTGCATTTTTAATGCTTCTCCTCCTCCTCTTTCTCCTCTTCTTCCTCTTTTTCTTTCTTTTTCTCTTTCTTTCGTCTCCTCCTCCTCCTCTTCCTTCCTCTCCTCTTCTTCTTCTCTTCCTCCTCCTTGTTTTTTCTTCTTCTTCTTCTTCTTCTTCTTCTTCTTCTTCTTCTTCTTCTTCTTCTTCTTCCTCCTCCTCCTCCTCCTCCTCCTCCTCCTCTTTCTCCTCTTCCTCCTCTCCTTTTGTTGTGCCTATAATTTCATAGTATCTACAGATAGAGCTAAGAGCTCAGAGATAAAAGAGAAAGAGAAGGGAATGGGAAAGGCAGGAGAAGGGGCAACCATACTGTCATAGATTTAGATCTGGATGGTACCCTAGAGATGATCTAAGTCAACTCCCTCATTTTACCAATGAGGAAAATGAGGCTGAAAGGGAGGAAGTGACTATCCCAAAGTCACACAGGTAATTGGTGGAGCTAGTATTTAAACCCAGGGCCTCCAACTCCAAATCCAGCATATTTTCCAATGCCCCATGCTGCATCATCAGCATGAATGACTATTGGCGTGGAAACTCTGTCCTCTCCTGCATATCAGCAATTTCTCCATAGCTTTCAGTATTAGCTTGATCCTGTGCTGTCCAATATGTTTATCAATGACTTGGGTAAAGGATACAGGGGTTTTAGCGGGCTGCAAGCTCAGTATGAGTCAGCATATGCTGTGGCAGGCAAAAATGTGAATGAGATCTTGGGCTACATTAAGAGAGTCAGAGCTTCCAGGGAAAGGGTGGGAATAGTCCCAGTGTACTCTGCCCACATAAGAACTCACTTGGAGTATTGTGTTCACTTTTAGGCACCGTAGTTTAAGAAGGATATTGACAAACTGGAGAAGTTTAGCCTGGAGAAAAGAAGACTTGGCAGCCATCATAGCCAAAGGTTTGAAAAGCTGTTATGTGAAAGACGGACTTGCCTGTTCTTTGGGTCCCAGAAGCAAAGGGTACAAGTTGCCAAGAGGCTAGATCTAGACTTAAATTTGGCTAGATATCAGGAAAAACATCCTAATAATTAGTGCTGTCCAAAAGTAGAGTGACCAGGTTCAAAAGGTGGTGGGTTCCCCTTTCTAGGAGACCTTCAAGTGGTCTGAGTGGCCACTCATCATCTAAATATGTTATAGTGGGAAGGCCGCTTGTATGTGAGTTGGGCTAGATGACTTCTCAGGTTCCTTCTAACCCTCAAATTCTGTGTCCACAAAGCATTCTAGATTCGCTTTCGAAGGATGTGCCGCTGTTTTCATTTTCTCACTGTACTACCTAAAAAAAAGAAAAAAATAATTGCTATGGCTACTATATTTCACCCTCTTAACCTGTGGTCACATTGGGACCACTTCTCATACCTTTTTTGATCCAAGGACTTGATCTCATGGATCAACTATTTAATTCACCTGAATGGTCAACAGAACCATCTCTCCCATCCCCCATCAAAGTCAGCAGAATTCTTTGCATGGATTATACTACTTTTGATTAGATATCAGCAAATGAAGTGATGACTAACTTAAAAAGAATTAAATATCTAATCTGGGGAGTCAGAGGAGATCCCCTGATTTACCAGACTGAGGCTACTTCAAACGAGCTTGGCATGGGACCACTTGCTCCACGAGGGAAATCATGTATTCAGGCTCTGCACTGAAGGAGTTACACTTTGGATGACAGTTGTCCCTTATTGATGTCTTGAACTATGGGATGATGTCCTTGAAGTTGGAGACTAAGCCTGAAAGAACCACCCACTCAGTAGGTGATAAGAAGAACTGAGGAAAAGCAACTTCTTCTCTCTTTCTTAGAACATGTATCACTTGGGACTCGGGCAATCTGTCCCATAAACATCCACAAAGGGAAGGAGAGGATTTCTCTCCTCCCCATCCTCCAGCAGCTATCATGTACTGCCACGATGAACTTGAGACTGGACCTCAAATCCTTGACCATCTCTGATTTTTTTTTTGTTTTCCTTTCCCTAAGCATAGATGTTCAAACAGTTACACGGGTAAAGTTGATTGATTTACTCAGTTAAGTCACTCTACTCCACCACTAGGTGGTGCAGTGGATAAAACACTGAGTTTGGAATTCGGAAGACTCATCTTCCTGAGTTCAAATCCGGCCTCAGACACGTCCTAGCTGTGTGACCCTGGACAAGTCACTTCACCCTGTTTGCCTCAGTTTCCTCATCTGTAAAATGAGCTGGAGAAGGAAATGGCGAATCAGTCCAGTATCTTTGCTAAGAAAATCCCAAATGGGGTCATGGAGAGTTGGACACGACTGACTTGATTAAACAACAAGCCCTACTTGAAGTAAGTGATAACGTACCCTGGGACTTAACTAGATGAAATCAATCAGTCAATCAATATCAAGCTTAGGATTTAGTTTCAATTAATTATGTATTTAGACTAAATGGAAAAGGTTCTTGGAACTTAAGGACACAGAAGTCTTACTCAACTAGACTGAGGAAATTTGGTTATGCCCCAGAGGTCATCTATAAATTATCTGTAAATTATCAGCCAGTGTAATTTGAGAGATTGTGTATCAAGTGTATCATCCCTGTAAATCTCTTCAGAGGGAGCCATCATAAAGGGGGGGGCACAGAAAGAGAGCAGTTGGCTTCAGTCTTGGGGTCTAAGTCTTCTCTTTCACCCTTATCCTTGACCAGAGGAGGACTTTATAATTTTCAAAGAGTCCAAAAGATGTTAGATTTCCCATCTTTTCATCAGCATACAGGCAGCAATCCAGATCAACTAACGGCAACATATGCATTGGAAGCCTGAACAGAATGGACATGGATTCATGGTTCCACAAGGAGTTTGTCAAAGAGACTATATCATATCTAAGGGAAACTTCTTGAGCACCCTACAAACAGAAGGAAAGGACTTTCAGCAGCTGGTGGTTGACATATGTGCTCTCTAAGCTTGAATCCTCTTTCCTCTAGATGCTGAATGTACATGTGTGAAAGTGTCTCACAGACTTTTGGGAGGATGTTTTGTACCAACTGCTGGCATTAAAGAATCACTCTGACTCATCAGGGGTACCTCTTGAATATTAAAGGAGAGATTCAGCCTTCTCTGGAGGACCTTGCAAAATGTGTCTTGAAAGTAGAAGTTAGGATAAGGATCCTCAGAGCTTTTTTGGGCTATACAATGACTCCAAGACATGGACATTTCCAGCCACAGTGGCTGCCTCTTTAGTTCAGTAGGTCAGGAATTTCTGAGTAAGTGCTTCCTACAACAATACCAATTCTCAGAGGAGAAAATGCAGCCAAAAAGCTAAAGCCCAAGTCATGCCTTGGCTTTCCAGAAGATCTGGACTTCTAAGTTGTATAGGCAGTACATGTTAAAGTGAAAGTGAAAGAGGTGTTTGTCAATTTTACACAATGTAAGTATTTGATTGTACTCTTTAGTCTTTTGTGTTTTGATCATTTCTTCTGTGGTGGAGGAAATAAATAGCTGTCCCATACCTGTAATCTACTATTTTGTAGTGAAAATTTTTCTAGAAGAGATTCTGTCAATCTCTTTTGGAGCAAACCTAGACACGAACTAAGCTGTATTGTTTGAATGTAGAGCTGGAGTCTCTTATGGGAAGGAGGGGGTAGGGAGGGACTCCCATGGGCTGTAGGTAATATCTCATAAGTATATCACTAATTTATGCTAATAACATAAATAACAGATTTAAAGCTGGGAAAGACAGGCGATCTTATTAAGTCCAACCACTTCATCATATTAGCCAGGTAACGCAGTGTCATTACAAGATTAGACATGGAGTCAGGAAGTTCCAAGTTGGAATCCTGCCTCAGACACTTACCAAGACAGACACATGACCCTGAAAGTCACTTCGACTTACTTGACCTCAGTTTCTTCATCTGTAAAATGGAACTAATAATAGCGCCTACCTCCTTTGATTCTTGTGAGGCCCTAATAAGATAATTGTGTAAAGCACTCGGCAAACCTTGCTGCTGTCACTGTCTTTGTTATTATCATTATGATTGAGAAAAGTAAAATAACTTGTCCAAGGTCACCCAGTGAGCGAGAGCCCATGCCTCTTAATTCTCGGTCATATTACAAGGAAACAAAACCATTAATAGGGGCAGCTAGGTGGCACAGTGGATAGAGCACGGGCCCTGGATTCAGGAGGATCTGAGTTCAAATCTGACCTCAGACACATACTTACTAGCTGTGTGACCCTGGACAAGTCACTTAACCCCATTGCCTAGCCAAAACAAACAAACAAAAAAACCATTAATACCATAAGAAGCCCAGCCCATGGGGTCTTCTGAAAGATCCACACTACATCTCCAAGACTGCCTTGAGTTTTTTCACTCCCCCTGAAGGACTCCTGACTACAGAATTACAAGACAAGGCAAAAATACTGAGCCCAGCTTCAGATTCTTGTGTGGATGCAAATTCCCTCCATCTGCCACGCCCTCCTTAGGAATTAAAACCAAGAAAATGCCTGCAGCCAGCTGGCTGATTCTAAGGTATTTCATCTAAGCTCACTGATTATGGAATCATGGACAGGTATTTGCTAATGCAACTATGAAATTTCATATTATTTGCCTTTCAAAGGGGATCTGTTAGCTACTCTTTCCTTTTTTCCCTGGACTACAAAAGCATAAATTGCATTTTAAAGACATAATGCACACATGTACATACACACACCCACAGAGTGCCATAATGCGTGGAATATTCGGTTATTCTGAATGTACCCAAGTTCTCTGCATTCAACTCCTCACTAGGCAAATAGAAGCAGGGGGAGCTCTCCTAGAGTAGCTCTACAAAGGGGCTCAGTGTCTGCATCCTATGAGGAGTCGGTGCAGGAAAACAGTTCCTGGAATGGTGAAATAATTCATCTGTAAACGGATCCCACATCACTTCCACAGCGGCCACAGCCGTAGAAGCTGGAGCCAGACAAGAGGCCAGGGAAGAGACTTCCCTAGAAGCTAGCCAGGAAGCCCAGCCACAGGCAGAGACGCTGGGACAGAAGACACATTCCAGTGGTTGGCATCTGGGCCGAGCAGCTGCCAAGCACACCCAGTGTGTGGCCATGGGTGTTGGCTCCTCTGTGAGAACAGGCTGAGGAGACGGCCAAGTAACCAGGGACCGGAGGAGGAGCTGGCGCCGGGTCGATGCAGAAACGGCACTTACATGCCAGTTGGCTTTACAGGCAAAGCCCTCTTTACAGAGGGGCAAAATTTTCATGGAGAAAGTGCTGTTCGGGTATGCACATGCTCACACGTGGCTGCTTGTAGGCATGGTACGGCACCTCTCTCTGGGGGTGGGGGGTGGCCTGGAATCTTTGGGTGCCACTCCCGGGGTAATAAAAAAGAAGCATTTTGTGTTTATGGACCAGAGCCCTTCATGTTTATGGGCCAGGTGAAAGGGAAACCCCAGCATCGCCACAAAGCTATTCCAAACCTGACATGGAATTGCCCTACAAGGAATTATTTTTTTTTCCTTTTGGAGAAAGCTTCAGTTGAACATTTCAGTGTTTCAGAGTCTATGCTCCTCTGAGAAGGAATCCTTCTGGGGAATGCCATCTTTGCTGTGTGACAATGCCCATTAGAATTTCAAAGCCTGATTTTTCCTGTGGGGAAGCTTCAGAAATCAGAAAACTTTGAAGTTTGCTGAGGACGAGTTCTGTCAGGCATTTACTATTGATTCAGCTTTAAATTTTGCTTCATTCGAAGTCTAGTCTGGTAAAGTTAACAAAAAAAAGTCTCTGATTCTTCTAGGCCTACTTGACATCATCATATGAGGCCCTCCTGGAAGCACCATTAAAGTGGCAGCTCCCACTGAGAAAGAGACAATAGCCTTGTTAGCTGAATGGGGATGCTGAAACAGTGATAGACTCTCAGAACTGCCTTTTTTTTTTTAATCCATTAAAACACGCACACACACACACACACACAAAACCTTACCTCTGTATTGCCTGTGAGGGAATATTTATTTAGCTTTCTACACTGTGGGAAACAGGAGCTCTCCCATATAAGAAGACCCAGACCGCCTTTAACAGAGGAGAGAAATCTGAAGCTGTGACACAGCCCAGCAAATTCATCCTTACAGCTAAGTGGAAGGAATGCCTCAGTTGTGAATATCTTCACTGGGATGTGGCTGAGGTGCTTCTTAAATCCCACCTCCTGCGGGAAGCTTTTCCAGACTGAGTGGGTGGGATAAGAAGACGCAATTTTTTGCTTAAAATTCTCTGTGGCTTCCCCATGATCCTGCCTTCATGTTTATTAAACTTTAATACATATACAGAAATGCACACACACA